AGTACGGTTCCTGAATTTCCTAAGAGAAGTCGTAAGTTAGGGATGCCCTTGTCTTCAAGAACAAGGATTCTTTTGGGGAAATTACCCTTGACTGGGCCTTAGCTCACCCCTGGCTTTCCTGAACATACCCTCATGCTTCACTCCTAACCCCATACTACAGAAAGAGCTTTTAATTCATAGTATAGAACTCCGAAACATGTTCTATCTGGTGATTGCTCTTTGGGAACAGAGAACCTGCCAATTAAGCCTTTGCTTTTAAATTATTGCCCCAGATCATCTGCAATCACTGGGTGTGGACAACTATATCTTTCTGCTCCCCCCTGGGACCACCAAGTCTCCAACTTGGTCCTCTGCTAGGAGCCCATTTGTTCATCCCACAGTACTGACTTCCTCACACATGCCAGGAACTTATTTTCTTGAAGCTTGCTCTGTCTACTGTTTATAGATAACTCCCTTCTCTTTTTTTTAATTTAAAAAATTATTTATTTAAAGATTTATTTATTTTTAGAGAGAGAGAGCATGAGCAGGAGGGGCAGAGGGAGAGGGAGAATCTCAAGCACACTCCACATCAAGTGTGGAGCCCAATGCGGGCCTTGATCCTGAGACCCTGAGATCATGGCCTGAGCAGAAACTGAGAGTCGGACGCTCAATCGACTGGGCCACACAGGTGTCCCTGTTTCTTCTTCTGAAAGATTCGATCACTGCTCTTGGCAAAAGGGAACAGGAGACCCCTCAGAAATGTTTTTTTTTTTTCCTCCTTTTAGTTTTCACACTCAACATCTGTTCTCTAGGCTTCTGATTGTATTCTGTAATTCTCAGTATTTTAAAATTGCATGCTAGGGAACTTCCTTTTGATAACATTTGGAGTCTGTGGGAAAGAACACCCATATTCTTTTTTTTCCCCCTTGGTAGTCTCTCCAATTATTCAAGTGAAAATTCAGGTACAGAGAAACGCTGGGTCACTCCAGCTCACACTGTCTGCCCCCCCTGCCCGCCCCCCGGCAACCTGAAGGACTTATGGTCTGCTTGGCATTCTTAGACTTTGATGTCCAGCACTGTTGTTTCCCTCACTCAGACTGATCTAGCCAGCCCCTTCCACGAATGAGGCACTACTATAGGCTCTCAAGGGAGATGGAAATACTGACAACTTCACATCATTGACTCATTCAGTAAGAATTATTGATTGATTGCCTACTATATACCAGGTGCTACGATAAAAGGGATTGGCCATCACGGGCATGGCCCTTCCCCTCATGGAAACTTGTTAGGCAAAGAGGCAGACAGACATCAAGCAGGTTGTGCTCCCTGCTGTCTATCACAGCACACAGTAGGTAGCTGGTGAGTATTTGCTGAACGAGTGCAAGTCAACAGCCGAATACATAACAGCAAATTGTGAGACGTGCCAGGAATTGAAAACGGGAAATGATGGCAGAATAGGGTAGAGGGAGAAGAAAGGCTGCACAGAAGGCCTTTCTGAGAAAGTTGAGACTTACACAGACACCTGAAGGATGAGTACTAGGCAGCGATGCCCAAACTGGAGCTGTGATCATTCTAGAGGAGTGGAACAGTATAGGTAAAGGCTCGGAGGGAAGGAAGAGCCTGAAATGTTTCTGTGGGAAGACCACAGTGAGCGAGGGGAAAAGTGAAATATGATGAAAAATTGCAAGACACAAAGCAGATGAAGTAGGGAGGATGGATTTTATTCTAAGTGCAATGAGAAGTCATGGAAGGGCTTTAAGCAGGGAGTTACATAATCTGACTTGTATTTTTTCCTTTTTAAATCTGGCTGACATGATAAGACAGTTGTGGGAACGAGAGTGGAAGCAAGGACACCAGTTAGGAGTTGCAAAAATGTCTATGGGAGTTGATGGTTGTTTAGACTAAGGAGGCTGTGGTAAAAGTCAGGGAAGTCAAGATATACTTTGGTGATAGAACTGACAGACTTTCTGACAGACTGGATGTGGGGGACTACAAAAGAGGAAAATTAAGGATGACTTCCAGGTTTCTAGCTTATGTGACTGGGTGGGTGGAGGTGCCATTTTCTAAAATGAGAAAACTGGGGGAAGGAACAGTCCCAGGGTGTGTGTGTCACTGTTTATTTTTAACACATTTTATTTGAAATGCCTGTGAGACATGTAAATGTAAATGCCAAGTAGACAGCTATATATTTGAATCTAGGGCTAATAGGAAGACCGGACAAGGAAGTTTGTGATAAAAAGCCTTGTGACACAAAACTTACGTGTTCAAAGAAAACATTATGCCTTGCCTGGGTTAACTGGGGGAATTTGGGGTGGGGCGGGGAGGCTGACATTTGAGCCAAAAGAAAGATGATGAGGGAGGACGTTCCAGGTAAAGGGAATGTTCGAACAGTAAAGGTGCAGGAGAAAACCTCCAGGCAGGTTCGGAAACTGAAAAACAGTTCAGCTTGGATGGAATGAAGTTTGTGTTTGGAATGTTAGAGGAGTCTGGAGAGCACAGGAATGGCCACAGAGGGGGTTCTGTACTGTACTTGCTCGGCAACTGGGAGCACTAGTGGGTCTTTGAGCAGAGGCATAACCTGAGGAGGTCATTCAACGCAATTTCGTGACAGTGAGTAGAATGGATGGAAGAAGTGAGAACAGGAGGAAAAGGAAGCCAGTTAAGAGCTGATTTCAATTTTCCAGGCATGAGATAATAAGGGCCTAAATGTTGATTGTGGAAATTAAAACTTAAGGGGTAAACAGGAGGGACATTTGAAAGGAGAGTTATGATCTTGTTAGCCCAACAGGACAACCAGGAGAGGGCACCCACTTTTTTCTTCCAATGTCTTTTACCTCCACACTATATACGCTCTGGTTAAGGCTGGGAGACACTTGCAAATCTCTCCACTGTGGCTTTTAACATTGGCTGAAGGGGCCTCACGCTGGTGTGGTCTCACTGCAAACAGGTAATAAAGGGGCAGCTCTGGTATCATAGTAGACAGACTCACACACCTAACTGTTGCTGGAAGAAGTGGTATGGGGTTGGGTCTAGGAAATGGGAGCGGAGGAAGCACTAGTAAAGAGGAGTTACATTTTCCAACTTTTTTCCCCCCAACATTTTTCTTTTTAAAGCCCAATTGCCCATATTCTTTCCTACTTTGACACACACACACACACACACACACACACACACACACACACCACTCACACATGCTCACTCTCCTCCCAACAGGCTGAACCTTCAATGCTCTGAATTTTTCTGACACCACCTTCCATCAGTATTGTCCATATTTGCGCCAAGTCCCAGCTTTTCACAGCCCCCCCGAAGAATAAGTATCACTGAGAGGATAGCTAAAAATGCGCCCACAGCCCCACTTCTCAGTAATATTTATATTTATTTAGACAATGGGGGCCTTCAACAGCCTAGTCCTAATGTCTCCATGAAAACCAACCAGGCTGCAGGCTAGAGGTGTGGTGTGGTGAGGGCCTGGGGCCGGGTGGTGGTGGTGGGGGTGTGTGTGCGCGCACGTGCGTGCACATGCGCGCACACGTGAGACTGTCAGCACTCCTTCTGATGCTGAGGCCTGGCTCAGGCCTCCCCCCAGGCCTTCCGGTCTCCCTGGAGTACCTGTGCTGGGCCTCCTCACCAAGGAGGCAAAATAAGCTTGGGAGAGACTTCCAAAGTCACTCTGCAGGGAAACCAGAACATGTACCCCAAACATCCCTCTGCACCTCCTAATCCTTACTGCGATGGCTTGAGCCCACCCCACCATCCCCTTCGGTTCCTTCTCCTTTACTTGTTTTTCACTGCTGGCATAGTTTAAGTGTTCATTGTTCATTGTCTTGTGAGGAGTACCTTGAACTCGTTGGAGAGTAGGCGCTATATAAATACAATAAAGCAATGGATAAACAAAATAGCTACTTTTACAAGAGTGTAGGTTTTACTATTTCTGATAATATGAGACCAGCCCCTTACTCAGCACTAGGCTGAGGAGCAGGTGGGTGGTGAATTCTGAGGGTTGGCAAACAGACCTCCCTGCTCTAAAAGGGCTTCCCCACTTCCTGAAATCCCAGTTTGGTGGCACATATTTTTTTGAATCTGAGCATGTATTGACGTGTAAATACCGCGTGAGGGTGAGTAGGTGGGTCACGATTTAACCTTACTTCTATTCACATTAACCCATCACTTCTATCACTTCTATCTATGTCCTTTTCACATTCCAGCTTTTGTTCATGCTATTCTTCCAGAGGTAATGCTAAATATGACATGAACTATAAATATAAAATTACCTATACATTCAACAGAGTCTCATCTGATATCTATATCCAAACCTACTCATTCTTTTTTAAAACAATTTATTTTTTTCCAATGTAAGAAGAATAATGGGTTTATATAGAAAATTTGAAAAAAGCAGGAAGATAGCGAGAAGAAAAAAAAATATCAACCATAGTCCTACCCCTAGAGAACAACCATTGTTGCCATTGTTGACAGTGTGGTCGTGCTTGTTCTTTAAACAAATCTTAGTTTAGGTCCCATTTCTGATGTGATGCCTGCCTTCATCTTCCTCCCCCAGAACTTCTCTATCACGTTTGTACCCCTCACTTGTACCAGTTAGTGAACCTGGCGTGTGTTCTGCGCTTCCAACTAGGTTGTTGGATGCTCGAAGGCTGCAGCCATGAATTCTACTTCTTAATTTATCCCCAAACACCTACCACATTGGACCCAGTATTTGCTGGCTGATTTAACCTAAATGAATACAAACCACTTCAGAAAGGATATAAAACAGGCCAAGTATCTACATCATGAAAATTAAAGCTTTCAGGTCACCTGGCTTGGTGATTACTGCTTTTCTGTTCCTGGAACTCCTGAAAGCCTATTAACTAGCCTCTATCTCCACACCAAAACTGAATAAGAAGCAGAATGAGTGACAGCCAGGATTTACTCAAAGATTCTCTATATAAGGCATAAAAAGGTGGGGGGGGGAGAGATGGAGAGAGAGGGGGAGAGGGAAGGAGGAGGAAGAAGAGAAGAGAAGAGAAGAAAAGAGAAGACAAGAGAAGAGTAGAGTAGGGTAGGGTAGAGTAGAGTAGGGTAGAGTAGGGTAGGGTACAGAAGGGTATATAGAGTGTATAGTCCGGTGCTCAATCCAGTATGTGATTTGCCTCCAGCACCGTATACAGGATCCCATCCACTTGCTCTGAGTCAAACCCGATCTCACGAAGCTCCAAGTGAGGGAGGACAGAAGTAAGGAGATAGCTGACGTGGATACGCAGCCGCGTAAGCTTTGCCAAAGCCCTGTATGATGGAGTGAGGGGGCAGAAGAGATGACATGAAGTCATTAGCCAACAGAACAAAATGAATCTCCTTAAAAATGGGCCTACATCTCTCAACAATGATGTGTCCATTAGCTAGACAGAAAGAAGAAAGCACGGTGCCACCAAACACAGGGAGACTGACTGCAGCTCTCTAAGTAATTCCTCGCTCCTTGGTGGCCTCTAAATTAATTAAGGCTTCCTCCCTTAGCTATGGCCAATAACTGGGGGTCCTAAGGGATGCTTCCCGTTAGCACTCACAAGCTGATAACTAAACCCTAGTAATTAACCTTTCTAGGTCATCTCCCTCTGGGGTCCGGTAGGAGACCTGAGCCTTCTGCAGCACTTCCAGGTGCATCTCTGTCTCCTTCAGTTTCTCTTTAAGTTCCTGCTTTTCTTCCTTGGTTCTCTCCAGCTCAGCTTTCAGAATTTGGAATTCAGCTTGGCGATAGCCCATGTGTTTCTTGCTCCAATACAAGCCTTCCGTCTCCTGGGTGGTGTAGGTCACCAATTCACTCTGGACTTTCTTGAATTCAGAATGCCAGTGATTCCTCTCCTGTTCCAGCTCCTCCACCTGCAGTCCAAGAAACAGAAATTCAATGACCCCCACATGCTAGGAGTGCACCAAAATGTGTCCCTAATACATTCCTCCATACACGTTCCACTGAGGGACCTTTTCAATCCCCAGATAGGGGCTGGAAGCCCACTCGGGTTCATTCAGTCTGAGACACGGCACAGAATGAGTCGATGGCTTCTGTTGTGGAAAGGCCTCAGAACGGGAAATCGTCAAGAGCCGCGACTCTCTGGTCTCTTGGTTACAAGGATCTCTTATTCCTAGTGGGAAGGTGATGCCCTAACCTTTTGCTGGAACAAGTTCCGCTCAGCCAAAACACGTTCCAGTTTTTCTGTGGTTCTTTTCAGTTCTTCCAGCTCTCTTTGGTTCTTCATCTTTGGCGAATTGCGACCTCCGCCCTCCTCAGAACCTCGGCCCTTCTCCCCAGCGGCTGTGGCAGGGGTGGGACCAGAGGCCACGGAGGGGTAAGGCACGGGGCTCCAGGATTCCACTGCTTTTCTCCTCTCAGCCAGCTCCTCTCTGTTGAAAGGGATCAGTTGAATGGGAGCTCCTGAATCTCTAACACCTTTTGCAACACCGACAACAGCTACAAAAGGTCCCTTGTTTACTTCCTCTTTGTTTACATTTGTGCTGCCTCTGTTAGATTCTTCTGCTACCAATCTTGGCATCTGATCTTCTAATTCTTCAGGGAGCAGGGACCCCTGGTGTTGGTCTTGGGCCCCTGAATACAGGACTGACACCTCCCTACTCTGACTGGTATTCTTGTTTGCATCTGGGTATTCTGGAGAAAGGTATGGTGGTGTGCTTCTCTCCGAACTGGATTTATCATGGCTGTTCTCCCCTTCTGGGTAGGAGACAGCTGCCTCCACCCTCCTATAAGGGCCAGGCATGGAATAATCTAGAGGAGGTGTTGTCATCTCATTCTGGAGCCTTCTTCGTTTCTCCACCGGCTCCTCTCCCAGGATCCATTTGTACTTACTGCAAGAAGAAGAGGGAATTAAATGTTAAGCTGTCAAAATACAAGCTAGGTGTATTCTTATCCCATGGAGCCTCTCTCCAAACTTCCTGCATTAGAAATGACCCTAGCTGTTATCCACAGATCATTTCAGGTTAAGAAAACACAACTCTACCACTGAACTCCAAACCCTTCACTCATGCACCTTGCTGAGCTAGCAACCAGTCTGAATGGAGAGATGAAATCAAAAAGTATGAGAGTCAGTCTCTGGATATAGCAAGACAGAGTTGATTTTTGTAAGAATTCTGAAAATAGGATTGAAACCGGCCTGACTCGGAAGTTTCCAAAATGCAAGGAAAGGGAGAAACACACACACACACACACACACACACACACACACACACACACACGAATACACACACAAAATCCCCTAACAGGAGAATGGAAAAAAAGGTCATAAAAAGCCTAGTAGAGTATGCAGAGGAAAGTTGAGCCAGCTCGTTAATTTTAAAGTGTCACAAAAACCTCCCAGTATCAAAGACTTAGGCACATTTTTTATATTGCAACAGAACACCATGCAGTTTCTTTGCCAGCCAACTGGATTGTGGCTATAGCCCATATTCACTTATAAAAGTTAATTAAAACACAAGGCCCTAGTCAGAAACAAACAAGTGGAATCGGCCACTTCAAATCATTTCCCTCTTCGGGTAAAAGAACTGCCCTCTGTCAGGGCAAACAGGCACTCCCTCATTTCTTCAGGAAAGTGCAGGAGAGTAATCGCACCATCGCCTTCCATTTCTGGCTTCTGTTCGCACTAAGTGGTGAAGGAACTAAGGAAATGACTGGCACCCGTGAAATCCACAGGAAATTTAAAATCCTGCAGTAGGACAGGACACCTCCCCCACCCCCGGCACACCAGCTCATTTTTACCCCATAACTATTTTGTCCTCCCTGCAGAAAATGCAGAAATTTCAAAGTAAATATCAAATTTCAAATTTTCAATGAGAAAGAGTCAGGCATGTCATCAGTCACCTTACAATGTTTCAAGGCTGCCCACTTTTCTTTGCAAGTTCTGAGAACGTTTGTAAGACATCTCAAACCTTAGCTTCTTACAGCGCCCTGAACATTCTTTGAAACTAGTGTTCACCCAGAAAGAAAACTGGTCTGCCTCTTAATAGGTCTTGCTGTGTCAACCTTAGGGGGAAAGCAAAAATATTTGGGGGCAATGTGAGACCAAATGCATTCATCTAGAACCTGCATAAAGGGCCACTGCAGAGGGCCCATTTAGCTGTGGTAGGGAGGAAGAGTCAGTCAGTCAGTTCAGAGGTAGGAAGGAACGGTACACGATCCCAGATAGCAAGACCACACTTCTATGAAAGGCAATTAGTCAAATGATATGCTTTCTCTTCCTTTTGCTGCCTCCAAGGGTTCTATCTTTATCTCTCTCCCTGTATTTCTTTTCTTTGGTAATCTCATACCACCTCTGGGCTATAACCTCTGCTCATTCCCCCAGCCCTGATCTCTAGTATGGAATTTCCAATCACCCAGCACACCCCTTCCTGCCTGCCCCACTGGTGTCTCAGGATGTAGAAAACTGGCCTTCTGTTGTCAAGGTCAAACCCATTCCCTCTCCTATGTCTGATTTGTGTTAAGACACCAGCAAACTCTCAGTAATTTTATATAGTTTTACTACTATTAATACTCAGGCTCGAGCTCACATTCCCTGTCCTGAGCTACTGCAATGGCTTCCTCCAGCCTCCCCTTCTCTCTCTCACTGACAGACCACCTGCTGCCAAGCTACTAATCTTCCTAAGGTGCTGCCCTGTTTATGTTACACCCTTATTTGAAATCTTTATTTATTGCTACCCACAACATAAAAGCTCAAACGCCTTAGTTTGGGATTCCATTCCAAAACCTAAGAAACCTTTATTGAGCACTTACTCCACGCCAGACAGTATGATAAATGCTTAATGTGCATGGTCTCATTCAGTTTTCCCAAAAACCCTGAGGTAAGTGGTATGTTTATCTGCATTGGTTAAAGAGGATGCTCAGATGTAGAGAAGTTAACTTTGTCAGGGTCATGTAGCTAGTCAGGGGCAGGGGTGGGACATCACTTGGCCCCAGCTTTCTCTCTCATTACTTCCCTTCAAATATACCAGCCAAAAGAAATGCCCACGACTTCTTATGCTGCTTCTTTTGATTAGAATGCCCTTCTCCTACTCAATACTGCACGTCTAAGCCTGGCTCAAATACTACCTCTGAATTCCTACAGCACCTTAGCACTCAATTATAACATATTATCTCTTTTTTTACCTTGTGTGTGTGTGTCTTATAAATTTCCTACTAAAGTACTAAAGTATAAGCTCCTTGACAGAAGAGAGCTTAACTAGCTGTGCTAGATGGGAAGGAAGGGACAAAACCTGGCACATCAGAGGAAATAAAAATGAAACTATTATGTGACAGAAAAAGAAGTGGATTTTACTTAGTGGTTCTAGAAGTACTTAGCAGTTCTGTAACTAAAGGTCTGATCTTCCCCTTTAGGGACTGATACTTATTCTAGACCTGTATTCACTCATTTAGTAAGCACCAGGAATTCTTTTCAAACTACATAGCTAGTTTCTTCTCATTTTCTTTTCTTTTTCTTAAGATTTTATTTATTTATTTGAGAGAGAGAGAGAGAGAGCACAAGCAGGGGAAGTTGCAGTGGGAGAGAGAGAAGCAGGCTCCCTGCTGAGCAGGGAGCCCCATGCTGATGCAGGGCTCGATCCCAGAACTCCTGAGCTGAAGGCAGGCGCTTAACCAACTGAGCCAGCCAGGCACCCCATCTTCTCATTTTCTTCCTTTTTTTTGGTCGTACTCCTCAACTGTCTGTCTGCAGAGGAGCCAGCTGATATTTTGATAGGGGACTGCATCAAATCTGTAGCTCAATTTGGGGAATATGGCCATCTTAACAGCAAATCTTCTAATCCATAAACACGACATGTCTTTCCATTTACTCAGGTCTTCTTTAATCTCATCCAAAAATATTTTGTAGTTCTCAGTTTACAAGGCTTACTTGCACTTCTGTTAAATTTATTCCTAAAGACTATTTTTGAAGCCACTGTAAATGAAATCACTTTACTGTTTTCTTAAAGTTTTTAGTGGCTACTTATGTATTTGAAGTACAGTTAACATACAGTGTTATGTTAGATTCAGGTGTACAATATAGTGATGCAGCAATTCCATACAGTACTCAGTGCTCCTCCAGATAAGTGTGCTCTTAATCCCCTTTATCTATTTCACCCATTCCCCCCCCATCACCCATCTGGCAACCACCAGTTTGTTCTTTGTATTTAAGAGTCCATTTTATCACTTCATTCTTTTTTCCCTCTGCTTGTTTTTTGTTTGTTTTGTTTCTTAAATTTCACATAGGAGTGAAATCACACAGTATTTGTCTTTTTTTATCTGACTTATTTCACTTAGCATTATACCCTATCCTGTTGCAAATGGCAAGATCTCATTTTTTATGGTGAGTAATATTCCACTGTGTGTGTGTGTGTGTGTGTACCCCATCTTCTTTATCTAGTCATCTACCAACAAACACTTGGGCGGCTTTCATGTCTTGGCTATTGTAAATAACATTGCAATGAACACAGGGCTGCTTATGACCGATTCAAATTAGTCTTTTCATTTCCTTTGGATAAATACCAGCAGTGGAATTACTGGATCAAATGGTCATTCTATTTCTAACATCTTGAGGATCCTCCATACTGTTTTCCAGAGTGGCTGCACCAGTTTGCATTCCCACCAACAATACAAGAGGTTCCCCTTTCTCCACATCCTCCCCAACACCTGTTGTTTCTTGTGTTGTTAACTTTAGCCATTCTGGTAGGTGTGAGGTGATAGCTCATTATGGTTTTGATTTTTTTTTTCCTGGTATGAGTGATTTTGAACATCTTTTCATGTGTCTGCTGGCTATTTGCATGTCTTCTTGAGAAATGTCTGTTCAGGCCCTTTGCCCATTTTTTAGCCAAATTTTTTGTGGGTTTTTTTGATGTTGTGTTAAGTTCTTTATATATTTTGGATATTAAGCCCTTATTGGATATAAAATTGGCAAACATCTTCTCCCATTCAGTGGGTTACTTTGTTTTTTTGTTGATGGTCTCCTTCACTATGCAAAAGCTTTTTAGTCTGTTATTTAATTTCCACATATTTGTGAATTTCCCAGAATTTCTTCTGTTGTAGATTTCTACCTGAATTCCATTGGGATTGGACTACATTTTTTGCATGTTATCAATCCTTTCAATTTACTGAGGCTTGTTTTCTGGTCTAACATAGGGTCTTATCCTGGATAACACTCCATGTACACTTCAGAAGAATATAAAGTGTTCTATACATTTCTGTCAGGTCCAGTTGGTTTATGGCATTCTTCAACTCTTCTGTTTCCTTGCTGGTCTTCTGCCCATAATGGAAGTGGGCCATTGAAGTTTTCAAGTATTATTGATATCCATTTCTTCCTTCAATTCTGTCTGCTTTTGCTTTATATATTTGGCGGGGCTCTGTTATTGGGTCGACATATAGGTATAATTACTACATCTTCCTGATGAACTCTGTCATGAAATATCCCTCCTAATATCTAGTGACATCTTTTTGTTTGAAGTCTACTTTGATATTAGCATAAGCACTCTAGCTCTCTTATGGTTGCTTTTGCATGGTGTATCTGCTTCCACTCTTTTATTTTCAACCTATTTATATCTCTGAATCTAAAGTGTTTCTACTGTATATTTGGATTTTAAATCCAATCTGATATTTTCTGATTGGATAGTTTGAACTAGTCATATTTAATGTTATTATGGAAATGACAGAATTTACATCTGCTATTTAGCTTGCTGTGTTTTATATGTGCCATGCCTTCTTTGTTCCTTTCTTCTTCTACTGTTCCTTTTTCACGTTATATGGATATTTTCCGGTTTAACGCTTATAAATCTAACAACACATTGCTATAATTATTACTTTATGTAATGTTATGCCTTTTGAGGAAGCG